TGGTTTATTTACGTCTCACAGATTGGAGCTATTCACTAAAAAACCACGTATGCTAGGAAATAAGTTTGTGAATTACATCGCCGTCAATATTAAAAATTATATTGAAGACAAACACCAAAGCAATAAACTTAAGAATACATAGATTGAAAGATTGCCTTCTTGAACTAGGTTTGTATTCATTTAAAGATTTGTGCAGGCTAAGTAGATAAGTCCAAGGAATTTATTAAATAATACGGTAATACTGAATACATATATGGGCAGTTATGCTAGAATATCGTCTACTTTATTGGATCATAGCCGTCTCTAGTATAACTAGTTTCACTAGAGACGGTTATGGCACGATTCGTGTAACGAATTTTACTCCACCATTATTTAAGATATTTTCACTCGATTTAAAGATCTTGCATCTATATTCTTTTCATCCAATGGCTCTACTCGCTTTTGAGTTCATTTTTATTTTGGCACCAAGAAGAAACATTTTGTAAAAAATTTGAAAACCCTTCAAAACCCGAGAAATGATTCTGCACCATGCCGACTAATTCGATACTATGGGATTCGGTGCCATCACACCCTCTCTTACTAAAAGTGATTGCGATTTCATTCGAAGGTTACTCATTCGTTGGTCTTCAAAGTAAAAAGGGTCTATTTAGCTATATTAAACTATATTTTTCACGTACGAATAAATCAATATCCAACATATGCTAGTAATGCGTAATTTAAGGGACTATTGCGGTAATTCCAGCTTCGGTCGGGGTTGTGTACTAAATTTGCTATTTTTGGTACCTCTCCACTTGATAGCAAATCATATGCCAGATTCCAAAACGCCGAGAAAATATTTTCTGTACTAATCGTGATGAAAAAAGTATTCAGTCGTACTTAAAATACACCTAAGATCACGAATGCACATCAAACAAAGAATAGTTATTTGCTCCAAACAGCTATGCCTGTTTAACACAACATGACATCCTACATGCCGTTTTAAGGACATCTGTCCTTGTGAAAATAAAACTAATTATTTTTTTATTTTAGCGAATTTCCCATATAGGGAATAAGCTATTACCGTAGTACTCATGGTAAGACCTAGACCCGAGACCGATTTAATTTTTCATTTTGAGGTCCCTAGAGGCCAAAAACACCATCCGTTCAAATTCATATATATATATTTATATATATATATATATATATATATATATATATATGTGTGTCCGTTAGCGCGATAACTCGAGCAAAAATGATCCGATTTTGATTAAATTTGGTACAAACGTGTAAACCTACGTTTATTCGAACGAGTTCGCGATCCAGCATAATCGGACCATGGGAACGGGGGTTTATGGGGTAAAAATGGGTTTTTCCCATTTTTGAACCTAAAAACAAAAGATTTTGCGATTTCTTTCCAAACCGTTTTGTAGAGCTTAAAAAAAGAAATAATTTGGTATATTGAAGCGCTGTTGTATGCCTAACGGTCACGGAGAAAATTCAAAAATAGTGTAATTAAAAATTCCCATGTTATTCTTATGGAGAAAATGAAAATTGTTGTAGTTTATTTGTTTATGGGTATATATTGATAAAATTTGGCAAATTTATTTATTTCATCCTATACTATTGACGTATGGTCAAAAAACACTTTTTACCTTCCACGTAGCAGCAAACCTAAGCACTCGTTAAATCTAATGTTATTTAAATAGGGAATAATATGTCTTATTTATGGAAATATTTTATGTTATATTTTAGGAAATATTTTAGTAAAAATGTAATCAGACGAGTTGAAATTCGCTTAGTCTGTAGGTTTGCTGCGGCGGGGGTATTTTTTTATAAAACAACATTTTTATTTAACTGTGTGTGTAATACAGTGTGTGTAAGTGCTTTGCCAAGGCTCTATATTTTCCACGGTTGTGAAACTCAAAGGGGTTTTCATCCCTCCTAAACAATCAGCGTTGTGGATTGCGAGGGTCGTATCGCGATTATACGCTCATTGAATCAACTACGAGCGGAGAAATGTTGGCAAGAGAACATATTCAAACTCTCATCAGGGTTGTCTGTAGTGATAAATTGTGAGCTTCTATATGGACAAAAATTGTTACTACTTTCCCATTATGTAATGAAGTATAGTTTCTTTACATATTATTATCTGTGTTACTTTAATACCGGCCCTGGAGTTGTAAAAGTACAAATAAGCTATCGTAGTTTTGTTTTTTAATTGTAGTATTTTGTTTGAACCATTTTAAACAGATTGAACAAAAATGTACCATTGTGTTACGTTATGCTTTGTTTTGTAATGAACACTGACTGTTTTTTTTTCTGAACCGTCATGTATGTTTGAAATATCTACAATGTTACATAATTTTAATGTAAATATTAACTAACCTATAATGACACAATGTATCCTATTGTATCAATCAGTGATAAGCCTTCAAGTTGAATTAAACTAGAGATTTTGAGATAGTGTAGAAATAAATATTTTTCTACGTTATCAAGTATTATTTTATACGCATATTGTAGATTTTTTTACATTATTTATTGTGGATTATTTTTCGAAAGTTATTGTATAGCTGTGTTAGTTTCGTCTTAATACAGCATTTGAATATCCAACTTTAAAACAGTTAGCCTATAAAAATTACGAAACACGTGGCAAAAAGAAAAGTTGTTATAGGAGTAATGATTTATAGGTAAATAATAAAACTGTTAAAGTGTTTAATTGTGGTATTATGTATAAAATTACCATTCTATCTTGAAACCTTTACACTTACAAAAGCATATCTTTACTAAAGCACAAAAACAAACTTATAGAACGTTTTCAATTTGTAATCGTCAGCTAAACTTGAGCAACAAGTAAAAGATTCTCAGATACTGAAATTCCAAATCTGGGATTGTTTTGCGTTAGCGGTTTTATAGCGTTATATTCTGTCAATCGAGTAATAGAACGACTCGTTTCATGACCGATGACCAATCTGTGAATTGAAATCTCTTTTGTAACAATTCAATATTTTCACTAATATTTTTCTATAGAATAATTTAATTTTCACCATATGTTTTTCATTTTATCTAAATGCCAGTCCCTTTTCAAACCATGTATAATAATTGTCCATGCAAACCAATAGGTAATCAATTCAATACAATATAATATAGACAATTTTCAAATAACCTAATTTCATGTAAATATATAATAGCCTATAATTTTTGTAACAAAATTGCTTCAAATTCAACATAATTTTAGTTAAATAACATTTCAAAATTCAATTTTAGCTCTCTAGCAAATTAAAATTGTTATAATATATGTGTGAACAGTGGCCTACAATTCTCTGTGATTAAGCATTGACATGTGTGAATGCAACAATGCATCAAACCTTCATCACTTCCAAGAGAGCTGAGCTAGTATGAAGATATAAATTGTGAACTGCCTATTTTAATATCAAAATTTATAAAAAAGTGCCTATATTTCAACCTAAATTAGTGAAATTCGATTAAAGAAGAACCGTCCTTGTTGAGAACATTAATAATTACAACATCAAGAAATTTACCGTGAAGAAGACATCAATTTTTGGTGAGATCACTCCAGTAGACATTTTCTTTCCTTGGAAGCAATTAGAACATTTTTAGGCCTAATTTTTGGAACATTTAAACCAACATTCAAAGTCAAGAAACGAATAGAAGCTTATTCAAAACTTTAATTAATTCAACCACACAGAAAATAATTCGAATATAATTTATATTTCAAAACAAAATTTAATTAGGCTATCTTATAATCACAAGATTAAATTTAAATGCCGCTCGATCACCCCACCTGAGATAAAGATCCATGCAATAAGCCATAACACCTGAACCTAAATTATAACTATTGTAATAGGCTTAGCCTAAAGCTTTAACTAGTAAATTCATTCCCACTCTTTGTAAACTGTATTGTGAACCCTTTCTTTTCTTTTACCATCAATTTTGTATTTTAATTAAATAAATTTAAGTTTCGATACTGTACATGGAGTTTCCATTGTATTCTTAACTTTATGGATGATTACACTTTTTAGGACAAATACAAATTAAATCCCGGTTCTCCAACTCTAGAAGCTCATTCTCCATGTGTATGAGGAGTGAGGACCCTACCCTACAACCCTCATCCCTAAACAATCAAAGTTACCAGGGGAGGGGGTGAAAAGGGTTGCGTTGTTTAGTGATTATCCACTCAGTGGTTCGTTTCCAAGGTGGAACGTCAGTTTCAGATCCTTCTTCCCTCGTCTACGACTGAGGCGATAACAAGTTGAAGACAGAAACTGCGTTGTCTGTCAGACAACTGAGGATATTAACTTTCTGGCAACTTTTTTGAACTGGAAACTGTTATTGTGCAAGTTATAATCGTACAGTAATTTTTTTTAGTTGTAAAATGTTAGTTTTATGCGTTTTAGTTTGGCCATTTTGTTTTTCTTGACTTTATAACCACTTTTTAGCAGAGAAGTTTGTCCCTGTCTATCCATCTTCGTTTATATTTTATTACTGTATTAACATTGACTTCACCCTTTGACCGATAGAACTTGACTTCCTTTTTCATGTACAGTTGTCGCTAGTTTAAAATCAAAATTGACGCAGTGAACCGGCGACATATTGCAGAAATATTACTGAATTTTGTCCCACAATCGGACTTTTTAGTTTAAATAATAGGATGATTTGCCATAGCATTTTTTCGACGTGTCAACTATGTCGGTATCATAAAAATGTATATAATATAATTTTAGACAATAGCGCTACCTGTGACTACCTCATTCAACAGGATTCTTTATTAATTCATTGTCCATGCAGATGGGGCAAAAGTCGATGTTATACCCTCTTTGATCACTGTATCTTATATTGGATTGTATTTGGGGAATTAATGTACATGAAATTAGCGTCTGTAGGAAGGTAAGCTCAAACTATGTAATTTCCAACCAAAATGTGTTTTATTTTAAAAGTGTGTACCTACTTTACTCATCTATAGTTGAGGTGGTTCATTGTAGTAACTCTCTATTTTGTTACAGGCTTATGACCAATGAGTTAAAGTCACGTTTGCACAAGGAATGCGGAAAAGTAAGTAACTTTAAACCAACAACATGTAAATATTTATGTATAAATGTCTACCTTTTACGTTACATTAAACTAGATGTATATATTGTTCTAAATTCCTTTGAAATTTTTCGTCATTCACGAAGGATAGAATTTACACTCTTAAAATTCGTCGTCAGTTATGCGATGAAAAATTCATTCATTCTAGTTAAGCAGGACAGACAACAAGGCTTTAAGAGAGGCCGAGTTATAATTTAACGTGACATCATTTTATTTCTCATCTATTATAATAGTATAGTCTATCGAAAACTAAGAGAGAAACTACAATATTTACCCTACCCTTTACAATAAACAACATAGGATAGTGGTCAAACTATTATCATTCCTGATAACTAATTTACTGGTCCTAAAAACCAGAAGTAGTATGTATAACTGTATGTATTTGCTATGACTTAGCTAATACAATGTATTTTCAACTCAGCTCAATAAAATGATTTGATTTGCCGCCGCTGGTTCATGTAGACGGGTCCCTAATGCCCAAAACTAAAGCTTCAATATACACATTTCATAAATAACTTAGTTTATAACATTTTCAAACAAAGAAACACTTATAAAGTAAATTATATTAAAGTCCTAAAAAACAAATAAAAGAGTACAACACTGAATTCCAAGAGAACTGATGATTAATCATGTTCACCCCTTTTCCTAAGACGTTCGATAACTCAGTACTTTCACATCCCTGATGAGTTTCTAATGATCACGTGTCTCAGGGGATGTTTTTTTTTACTCGAAACGTTTTTCAGATCTCATCTGGAACTGTAATACACCAGTCATTTACCTTACGTTAGTAACATTTATAGGTTTACTTAGGTTAAATTTGTGAATATTTGAATAGTAATAGGAACAATGTCAGTTGTGCAATTAATAATTTTAAAATAATATTCTGCGTACTTTATTAGTGCTGCGAATCATTATTATGTAGATGTGATGTGTAATTCAAATCCATACTATACGATATTATATAATTAGTTCTAGGTCACTGTCTACATAGAAAGTTAGGTTATGTGCACACAGACACAATGATTTTACTTCTAGAGTTGTGTTGACAGATAAACAATGCTATGTGTTAGACGTACTACGGCATTATTTGAATGTTGTAGAATTGAGAAGTGTCGAGTTTATAGGATTTTAGAAATATTTCTTACCTAAACGATTACCTCAAATAGTCTGTACAACTTACCTGAAGGATGTGCAATTTTGTTCCATATTTTCAAATTTTAATAAAAAACTTGGTTTGTAGAATTACATTTTGAATAACTTACTTGCCTGTAGTGTACTAAAATGATTTGATGATTTCCATAAGATAAAACCTAGATAGTAATTTCGAGTTATCCTAACCTAAAAACTATCTACGTTTTGACACGGATTGATCTACTCATTTTATTCAAAAAAGTGTTGTGGAAACTTTACTATTTTATCAATCTTTAGGTCACATGAAACAACAATTTACCTAGTCAAATACAATGTTGTCAGTAAATTATCAAACACCGATGAATCAAATAAGAATTCAAAATCAGAATATATAACGAAACTTGGGTTATTTACTTTCACTCTCAGTAGATTTATGGAGCCGTTTCTATTCCTGACCAAAACACTTTTCACCTCCGAGTTTTCCTCCCCATTCTTCCTCCCCAGTTTCATCCCCTTTGTAAATTCACATTAGCATACCTATCTTTGTTAGCGTCGCCCCACAGCCTATTTCATTAGCAGGACAAATGAAACGTGCCTATGGCAATAAATCTTATCTCCCCAATTGAAAGCTGATTTGCGCCTTCATTTCGGATCTGAATAAAATTTTAGCTAATCTCATGGAACACGCCATACCTTTACAATGGAAAGGGAAAGTGTTATAGGTTTGTGATTATTGAAGTGAAAAAATTATAAATACGTTTGAGGTGAGAACTGCCGGAATATAAGTTATTTTGTTGATATTAGGCCTTAAATAACAACGTCAATCCTTTTCCTCAGTGTTTGTCTTGAGGAAAAAATTATAAATCGATACACGTTCACAATCTATAAATCTAATTCCGTAAGCCCAAAATTTTACAATGAAATTGTGAGCGAACGGGAGGCCATAGAAAGCTAGGAGAGGTCTCATTTTAAAGGTCTAGGCATGAAATTTTGGGGAAAATTATTCATATTTCTTAATTTTGCACCAAAAGGTTGTTACGGAATAAAATAGTTCACATTTAAATAGCATAAGAAATGTAGGTCATGTCTACTTTGTTTACTTTAAAACATGTGGTTTAACTTTATTTAAATCATATGGTAATATGTAATATGTGTAGTATTTATATAGCTGAAAAAAATTGTTTCCAATTTTACGGGTCTGGATCAGCGAACACATAACAAAATAGAAGCGCTACTCGGAGCGCAGGAGCGTGGCAGTCTGACTAGCCGACGAAACGGACAAAGATGGCGGTGCTAGCCTAGTCCCGGCGTGTGCAACGCGCTGGTCGTCTGCTATGCTTCGAGTCAGTGTTGTTTACATAGGCTTTGTTTAAATGTAAAAATACTTTTGTGTAAAAATTACTTAGGTTTTTCTGGAAGTACATTGTCGTATTAGTATATTGTTGGAAATATCTTAAAGTAAATCGATTGTTTTTACTGTAGTAAATCGATTTTTTTTATCGCGGGAGAAATTTTTGTTTAAAATATATATAAGTTTAAAACAATCTTTGTTCGCATTATAAATCTGTCATATTGGTGTTATTTCTTACACGACAAACACGATGGCATTTTGAACGACATTTTAGCGTCTTATTAACGATGTTGGCATACGTTTTAAAAATAAACATCAGCATAAAAACTATTGTGAGTAAAAATTTTAAAATGCATGGAACTGTTAACAATAAACCTACCAATAAGCCATAACAATTTCAGAAAGATTGGCTGAGTAGTTTGTTTACAATTAAATTTTAAACTTCAGTGTTAGTGCAGAGTTTCTTAAAAATCGGTACTTTTGAGGATCTTTCAACTATATAATTTTTCCTGGTAAACTGAATTTTTTTAATTGTTACCACGTTAAATGTATTTAAACCAGCTTATATTTAATTTTTATCTCAACAAAATCGGATAGCAAACTCGAGTGCACATATTTATTTCCCCGACAGTAGTCCCGGCGTGTGCAGCGCGCTAGTCGTCTGCTATGCTTGATGAGAATAGTGTAGATATAAAGTTAATGATATTAGCATTGACTAGTCAATGATATTAGTGTAGAGAACAATGTAATTGAGAACTTGACGAACAAAGGACTTGGACAATGTGTAGGAGTAAATTTGTTTCCAAATAGTACATATTTCTCAGGATATGAAACAATATGGACAAAAAACATTTTTGTTTAGTACCTAATTAAAATTATTGCTCAAAAATATTTCAATGTTAGAGTTCGCTATTACTGTAAAATAAGTAACGAAAGTCTTCACAAAAATAAAATCAGGCAACATCTCAATAAAACTGTAATTTTTCTGGGACAATAAATTGAGTGTAATTTTACAAATATATTTGGGAAGTTTAATTTAACTTACAGAATTATCTTTAGTTTATCTTTAATGACATTGCAAGCTAATTAGTCCTTAAAAAGTTGTGCTAAACGGTTGAAAATTCTACATAGACAATATATTTGAAAATGTCTTTAATATATACAATATTACAGTACAACAGTAGAAAACACTGCACGCTAAAATAGACGACGGCCCGGCGGCGCAGCGGGCGTGGCGCGGAGCAGCGGTAATAGATCCCTTTTGTACCTGATTTTTTAGAATACCCCCGCCGCAGCAAACCTGCCGTCTAAGCGAATTTCCATTTGGCCGAATTGATTTTCAATTGATCTATTTAAATAACATTAGGTTTAACGAGTACCTAGGTTTGCTGCTACAAGGAAACTAATAAAGTAGTGTGTTTTTAGTAAAATATTGATAGCTTACTATAAAATAAATAAATTTGCCAAGTTTGATCAAAATATATCCATAAACAAGCAAACTACAACCTTTTACAATATTCTCCATAAGAATAACATGGGAATTTTAAATTTACCATTTTTTTAGTTTTCTCCGTAACCAATAATCGTACAAAAACACTTTGATATACTGAATTGTTTGTTTTTTTAAGCTCTTTAAGAAGGTTTGGAGAAAAATTGGGAAATTTTGTGTTTTGAGGGTAAGAAGTGAGAAAAACCAATTTTTACCACATAAAACCCCCCATAAAACCCTGTTCCCATGGTCCGATCATGCTGGATCGCGAACTCATTCAAGTTTATCCCGCCTTACACCTACAAACCAAATTTCATCAAAAACGGATAAAAATTACTCAAGTTATCGTGTTCACGGACACATATATATATATATAAATCTATATATATATATACCTATATATATATATATACATATATAAAAATTTGAACGAATGGTGTTTTTGGCCTCTGGGGACATTAAAATGAAAAAGTAAATCGGTCCCGGGCCTAAATCTTACCATGAGACCTACGGTAATAGCTACTTCCCTATAGGGAAATTCGCTAAAACCGAACATGATAAAATTTTTTGGTGAATCGGATAGTTCAATTTGGTTATTTATCAACAACTTTCCCGCTGACGAAATTTCTCTGACCAAAAAATAAAAAATTTCCTCGCAATACAACTTTTTCATGTCTGAATCTGAAAAATTAAACTACATAAGTATTAAACATATTTATAACTCAATTACTATCATAACTAATAATTTTATATTGACACCATCGTTTTCCTCAGTATCATATCTACAAGTGTGCAAAATTTCAGAATTTTTTGTCAACTATTAATGTTGTTTATGATCGTGTATTTGTCGCGGGGTTTTTAATGCGAACTGAGCTCGCGGGTCTTGGATTCAGGATGTATGACGGACCAAGATGGCGGTTTTGGCCACACTTTCAGTGCATTTGGTTAATCGCCGTGTCCTCTCTATTATTATTATTATTATGTGCTCGCTGGTCTGGATTAGTTAATGGAGTACGATTGGTTGTGTTAGATATGTCTGAAAAAAGAGTAAAGTTAGAAGTAATTACTGGAGTAGGCAAAGGGAACATATTTGCCATGCCAAAAATAAAACTAATATCTACAGATCCTAATATGCCATTAAGTTTACAAGGATCCAATTCCCATTGCGATTAGCTTTAACTATTACTATAAATAAAGCGCAATGCCAAACCTTGACAAAAGTTATTTGAAAACACCAGTGTCAACCAATGGTCAACTTTATGTTGCTTTTAGAAGGTTAAAGCGGCCAAATTATGTTAAAATAGTACTAGAACCAGACCAAGGAATCGACCAAAATCGATACTATACAACAAATGTTTTCAGAGAGATTTTTTTTTATAGGTAATTAGCACTTTACAATTTGGGGGATGACATTATCTCTTATGTGTTTTAAGTGAATTTGTCTATATTCAAAGAAATTTATACATATTTCATTAATAGTCATGAAGATTATTATTGAAAATATCCCTTAGTTGTATTATGATTAGAATGTATAATGTATTGTATTATTCGTTTGGAATTTTTATTATAAACGGAGCAGACATCAACATGCATTATGCAGGTATGTAATAACTATTATAACATACACAAATGTTAAACGATAATTCAAGGTAGGGTAACCTATGAGACTAATACATGTAATTTGTACAAAATAGTTACTAGAATATACATATAGGGGCTATTGCCCCTAGAAGCCACTAGTATTTTCTATTTAACTCACTACAGATAAATTATCATAAAGTGAATCACAATTTGTGTAATATTTTAATTTATTTAAATGTTTTCAACGCAATTACACTGCCTACTTTGTATTACTCATAAATATTTTACTTACAACTGTTTGAGTGCGTTTAAAAGACTCAGATGCCATTTGTAGTTGAGCTAACAATTAATGTTGCTATCTACTAAACAGTCGATACATACAAGACCAGGGTATAGATAATTCTCTCACCAAAAACGTGAAAAATGTTAATGATGGTAATACGCTTCATATACCTGAATATATTGAATACACAATAGTAAAAAAAGTAATTTAAAAGCTCCAAACATACTAACGATTCACACATAAATATTTAAGGTGTAAAAAACAGAATGATCATGTACATCAGTAGTAAAAACTTAGTCTGAGACGTCACGTTTTTAAGGACTAATGAAGAATACATTACAAAAGAGCCTTGGGAAGACCACAGTCCTGAGGGAATGAACCTTGTTATTCAACCTGATTACAGACCAGAGCTCCCTAGAGATAGTGTGGTCTTGGGTTAAACCCCCCCCCCCTTCCACCATTAACCTCAAACTTAGAACCTGACAACTTGGGTAATAGAAGCATAGGCAAAGTAAAGCAATATCCACCACATGTTAAGTTTTTTAATATTGCCAGCAGGTGTATTCACACAACGTGTTAGGATAATGTTTTTTGTGTTATTCCATTTGTGTTGTTCAACGAGATAGTGTTTTAGTATTTATGATTTTTCTAAATACTGAGAAACAGTAAACACACACATGCTAGACCCTTGTTTACTTTATGTTGATTTTTAAATTCCCATGCTACAGGGTCTTAAAAATAAAGAATTGCCATTCAAGTCACGGTTTTGGTTTTGAACTTTACATTTTGTGATTGGCTATTTGTTTTTTAATTCAACTATAGAAAGCCTAGAAAATCTTGTTTATATTTTTTACTTTTCTCAAACACTAGATTTTTATATAGGAACAAGCTTAACAAGTATTCTTCTTCCAAAAATAAAAAAGATTATTCAAATTTGCAAATATTTTAAACTCAATTATGCTGAAAGATACAGTTTAATAAATATGGTTGTACCACTAACAATTTTATGAAAGTAGTAAAATTTTTTTCGTCAGTATTATTTACAACAGTTTTTCATCCCCAATCCTTAAAGGATGTTTTACCGAGCCACAAAACTAATCAAGAATGTTTATCACTGGCACAGCAAATTGCTAATCCAGATGTTGTGAAAATGAATGATTACTTCTTACCATTTCTTCAAAATGCATATTGAGTTCTGCTACTCGCTAAGCTTCAATTACAGCAGTGAAATAAAACTGACAAATAAAATGTAGAGCTTTAGAAAGTCTTCTCATTAGTTTCAGAACAATGGTTGGATCTGAGGAAGCCCAATTTTACCACAGGCACTCTTTAGTGGTTTATGGTTAGTTAAACCTCAATAAGTCTTGTTACTTGCGTTTCAACAATGTAGTTAGTGATAGTTAATGTGAACTAGCCAAGTTTGAATTTTAAAATTTGACTTGCAAATTATACCATTGATTTTGATTTTTTTTTTCCAAATATCGTTTTTTACTGGGCATAAATTTGTCCAGAACAATAACAATAATGGAGTAATCCCTGTACTCAAGTAAAAAAAGGTAAAATGTGATTTTTACTGAATTTAATTTGTCCCAACTTGTTTATGTAGTAGGGCTAGCTGCATATTAAAATAATTTAAAAACAAATTTTCCAAATGGATTACGTAATTTATACGTAACTTATAATACCCATTAATGTGAGTTATATTATCATACAAAGGTGTAATTTTTACAATAATTTGTTTTTCTATTTTACAGTAAAGTATTCTTAAAGTATTTCCTGTATTAAAAATAATTAAAAATTTCTAATTGATATTTTATTTACATGGGGGGAAATTAAACTTGTTTCTTTCCTGTATCAAACTAAATCTAAACTAAAGTATTTTTCCCATGCCATTTCACTTATTGAATGATATTTCTGAAAGTAAATTATATCATGTCACCTTTTTGAAAGAAAGTACCATTAATTGACAGCCCAATTTTATATTGGTGACTAGATCTTTAATATCTCTCTCTCAGATGGAAATTAAATTATTGAAAATCCCATTTACTTAATATACAGTTAGATAGATTAATACACATTTACTTATGATAGATTACTGTTTTAATCATAATTTAGATTTTCAAACTAACCCACAAAGGTTTTATGGGTGTGATTTGTGAGTAGTTTCAACAGTACCTAGTATACCTAGTAATTTAGGGAAGTTCTGAACTTTTTTTTGCTCTGTGTTTGTCTTCAGACTTACAAAACATAACAAGCTATTTCAGTTGAGACTGTGACATATTAGTCTTTATTAATTGATGCCTCAGTTTGAGTTTAGCACTTCCCCTAACTATGGCACCTCTAAGTGGCAAAGTTTGTAGATTGTAATTATATCTCCAGAGTGAGAGATCCAAGATGGAACTTACTCTGGGGAGTGATTAGTCAAGGACATAAAACTGTTTAAAATATTAAAACCATCCTATTAGTCATTTTTATGTGTATTAACCCCAGGAGAGGCATTACAGTATAAAATCCTGTGAACGTGACTTTCAAAAACTATATAATCTTTGTCATTAATTTATAGATCACTTTGTTACTTTAATAAATTAGCTTAAATATATGTACTTGTTCATTAATTTGTTTTCCATATTTGTGGTTTTGGCACTTATTTTTGGGCAGCTTACACCATAAAAGGCTAGTCCTAGACATTATCATATAGATAAAATCCAGTGGTGATTGCCGGGATTTGAGCCCGGGACCTCGGGCTCCAAAGTCCCATGCTCTACCATTAGATCAGCTCGCTCCCCCTAGTAAGGGACCCCTGTATGTGTTTATTAATTTGCATATTTTTGTTCCAGGGCTTGAATATGGACTAACAAATGAATGGAACACCACCTACAATTCATCTGATTTCCAATGGATAGTGAATCGATGAGGTCTAAAAACACTCTCCATGGCTGAAATAAGAAGAAAAATATTTTACCTAAAGGCAGAACTGCTACCAGCATAAATGTTCGGGACGAAACTCCGTACGTGGATGGAAACGCACATCGTGCGATCTCGAAAGAAGCAGCATCGCAATAAAGAAGATAAAAAATCTGGCAATTGTAGTAAACTCATCGGCAGTTCTCCTTGTCATATTGAATCCAACTCGTTTGAACGACAGTATGTGAGTATATGGGAGATGTTTTTGGATACCATAGATTTATATAGTTCAAGAAAAATATTTGGCTTCTGCCGAAATTCGGTGAGTTTTTCAGTGATGAAATTTTTAATAAGAATCTTTGATCTGATCATGATAATCTTGGTTTAATTTGTTAAAATATAAGCTACCTCAAGTACAAAAAACAATTAAATAAACTAAATGTAAGCTCATGTGGCCATATATTCCTTTACAATAAAGTCTTTCCTTACAATCTGCAAATTTTGAGATGCCATAACATTTACAAAGAAATAGTTATTTGCTAGTATTTAGTTCATAGGCATATCCACTATGAAACTAATTGAAAGGATAATGCGATATGGTTGCTTTCAGTATAGTGTAGGGCACTTTGCTGAGTGAATATAGCGCTATGCTAGTAGAGTAATCAGAAGGTCGCTGATTTGAAGCTTTTTGATGGTTTAAAAGTGCAGCTTTTAGCCTTTTGATAAACTTTGTTGACAACATAACCAGTTAATCTCGTTCAGTAACAAATTTGTGTCTTTCAAAACTCATCCCAATCACCTTTGCTTTAATGCACCCCTGGTGTGTCACCATCTCATAAATGTAATGGAATATTACCTGTAAATTTATTTACTATTTTTCTTCCCCGTGGTAAAATAGCCTCTACTACGACAAGAGCAAAAGGGATAAGGTTTTACAAACCGATTCATCAGGTAAATACTGAATTCTCAACTATATCCGTAAAAATTTGTTGTCTTCAGGGTAAAAAAAGTCCAAACTACGATGGAAACAAAAGAGATTGGGACTTACAAGCCACCGATGTCAGTGCACCTGCCAAGGCCCCCATGAGCCTTGGGCCCAAATCACACGGAACCATCAACAACCTTTCCTCCCCAGAGTCAGCCTACTCCACGGGATACTCAACTGACGGAACGTCTCCCGGAGCATCCTTCCCTCCGGAATACTACATAAACATCCGGACAGGAACCCACTACTTCCATTCCCATCCGGGACAGCCTATTTCGGGCAAAGTTACTTCACAGGTCGCAACTACCGAGGCCTACAAAGTGGGGTCGGTTCAGCCTACTGTGGCGATAACGGTGGTGAGTCCACGGCCGGGGAGGCATAAAAAGGAAGATGGGAACAAGAAGAAGAGGAGTGATCTTCCGGAATCATCTACAGAGGAAGACATTGTCGATAGGATGGGGAAAGTGGTACACTGTGCACCTAATTCCACGCCAAAGGTAAATGATTAAGATAGTTTGAAATCAATTAATATTTTATTATTTTCTTCGAAGAATTGATGTGAATTCAGTTGTTATTAGTTAAGTAGCCCAATAGTTTTGAAGATTAATTGGTAAACATATTCTGAAGTATCACTAACTTTACTTATGGTAAAGGTTTTAAAAAATAATTTTAACTAATAACTATGCACAATGTTAAAGTAACACTGTTAATTACCAAACAACATTTATTACCATTACTTTAGCAAAACCTCATTACTTTACATGAGGATAATCTATTGAATGGTTCAGCACCCATCAAAACAAGAAAATAAACTAGGGCTTATGATTTAGTGGAACATTGTCTTCAAGATTCAAAAACTTTTAACAAAATGTTGTTTGATTGTCTTAACACCCATCAACCATCAAATTGTCTATTGGAACCTCAATGATTGATATCATGCATCAGATAAACCAACTCATCTTTTTATTTAAATGGTTTTAAAATTTCTTTTCAATTTCTCTTCAGAAAATACACTCTTTGGATTCAAGCTTCTAGGACAGCTTAATTAATCCAGCTTTCTAAAGAAAGAAAAGCTTGATGATCGAATATGTTATACTAGTTTTTCTTTTTTTATAATCATTAACTTTAGATACATTATTTTTTTCAGGTGAAAAACAAGCACATACATCCTCCTCAAAACAGTTTGCATCGGAGAACGGAATCATATGACGAAAGTCAACAGAGAGCTTCTATCCAGAGTCAAGAATCCGGAGATTCCTTGTCTAGTGTTCCGGCATTCCAGTGTACCTCTCCGTACCTACCAGGGGCCTCCCCTAGACAGAGGAACAGGATTCGGACCAACCCTTGGCTTGCAGCCAATCAGCCCAATGGAGGTATGTCAAACAACCCTCTTGGTGATTCTTCATGGGATTAGTTTGAAACAAAGTGTACTACAATAACTAAAAATAAGCATAACTAATCAATACAGTTGAAGTTACAGTTGGTTAGTATCAGTTACAGTTAAAGTTAAGAAAACCCATTATTTATCACACAGTTGGAATTTACTTAACTTTGCAACAAGTACAGTTACAAGGGAGAAAAAATAATTATTAATTGAGTAATGAAATAAATATTAGGGCTGTACACAATTAAGCTTTCCATTGAGCTCCTGTCACAGTCATGTTTGAATCTGAACTCCGTGTTCTTGACTTCATCCATTAATGGTCTATCCAGTCCATACACTACACTCATCTACATTAATACTTGGCTTAAAATACCTACTTTCGTATGGTCCCCATTTCAAAGTATATAAAGTAAAGTACACTGTTTCGATGATTAGTCATTGTAGCCAACAACCATAGTAGGGAAGATTGATACTGCTATCAGAATCACGTTATATGTTTACATTTTTAAGTTTCTAAGTTTAGATCTAAGATGTCAGCCACTAATGAAATCCATGACAAGTTGACAGATGTGTAGGTAACTATGCAGAAAAAGTTACGAAGTAGAAAATGTGCATAAGGGAGTTTGCAGAAGAACATTCACATTTGCACAACGAGGCTGGCAAGACATGCACCTGGCAATAAATGGGAGGAACATATTCATGTACCTACCAGAACCTTGTAAATCGAGATGCCCAAGAACTCCCATCCGTTATTGACACCTCACTGCTCACATTCCTTCATCATTCGTATCTTGTCGTCCCTGTGACATAAGGCATCACATTCATGATTATTATCTCAAGTAGAACGTTTTGCAGGTAAGTCGTACAATTCCCAAGGAGAGACGTCGTCCACTGTTGGCAGCAGCTCCACCCTCTCGTCCAGTGGTTGTAAGCAAACCAGTGACGACACGTCTCATCTGTCTCCTCGGTCCAGAGAGAAGAGGAGGCTGATAAAGGAACATCTTAGGGACGTAAAGAACTGCAACACTGCTGCTCTCTTTAGTCCGTGAGTAACCAAACATGTTGTCATAGTTGTAACTGTGACATCACCAATAAGAATGTATGATAATTGTAAGTAGTGATGTGGCGTAGAGTATTTAGTCTACTCAAATAAAGTCAGGAATCTTTTTCAACTTTGCTCATTACTCGAGTACTCCATTCGTCTATAGTCAAAGTGACCACTGCTAACTTATAGTGGTGTCTTGGAGGACTAAGCTACACAAGGTATTACACTCCATTCTACACTCATCCTTCAATCATATAGTATGGGTTAAAATATGCACACAGGTAGTGTCCCCAATCTCAAATTAATAAGAATATGAATATATTAATACATATAAATGTACCAGAATCCATACTGTGTAGGTTTTATAGCAGACAACCTCTTCTCACTCAAAAGAAAACACCAATCTTTCAAAACACACAAAAAATGTAACCTTTGACAAGTTAGTATCCAACAGTCAATTATCAAATTATCTAATTTCAAACTTTCAATTTGCTTACTGCAATGAGTGCAATGTGTCTGTTTCATAACACTTTCTCTTTATAATTTTGAACTCTATACTATTAGAAGATGGTAACTAACATAATATTGAAAAATATTACAGTGTACTAAACGGTAAGAAGCACCTGAATGCTGTGACAACCTGTTCGCCCCAGCCCAACCGAGCTTGTCACCATTCGCTGAGGAGTCATGCTCCGGCATCTTCCTCTTCTTCTCCCTCATCTTCCCCAAGCTCTGCCAGCGATGACGAGCATCATGGCAATACGAGCGACTTTTCTGACGATGACGTCACACTGAACGAGATGTTGGGGAAGTATGACGAAAGTTACGTCTACGAGAAAGAGACGGACATTCTGAGTGACAGTGACCCCACAGACTGTGAGGACCAGGGTGATTACGGTAGGTAGCAAAAGTTTGATGGTGTTGGGTATCGGCAACTACGGTAAGTAGCACAGAGCTATAGTAAGTATAGTTTATGTCTGGTAACTACATTAGTTCTGTTAGTGTACACGGGGCAACTAGGGCAAGCGTCAAAAGTGCATTGCTTGTCCAGTATTGTTACAGTTAACAGTAGACCCACTCTTAACCGACCCTGGATTAACCGTCACTTGGTTTGATCAACTCTGCCCAGAAAAAGAGGTCAGTTCTTCCGTCTTAAATATTTTGAAACTCTTTTACTCAACCGACATATACTATGAATCTGGAGTTTATTCCCACCCTTAATGCAGTACCTAGTAAAAATACAGCCAGTACAGTTATGTTTAGTTGTAAATCTCATTTTTCTGAGAAAAATTTAAAGTTAAAATTCAACTTTGTGCTGTCTTTCCAACAAAGTATTGTATTCATATTTTAAAGAGTAAAATGTTCAATACCGTGTTGTGTAGAGGAGACAGGTTGTCTTTTTACAGTATGTGAACTTCTTAAGTATTTTACATAGTTGTCCATTTTAACAGACCTTTAAGTTTATCCGCCCTAAGCGCGTTTGTGTATGGGTTGGTAAGAGAGGGTGTAATGTAGATAGCAGAGCCGCGACTACGGTAAGTAGCAGAACTCTAGAGGTATTCACACAGCACTGAGCACGCTGGCAAACTGCACGTTTTACTGCATTGCTTACCCTGCTTTTAGATCTCATTGGTAAATGTAAGTATGGTATGAATAAAAGTAGTCCATCTTTTATTAAGCCATTATTCATTTACAATCATCACAAAAAAGTGGGCAGGAATGTCATGTTAATTTGGAGGAAATGCAAATTATTAAACTGGATTAAAAAAATATACCAGCAATGATTCTTACAATTTTATTGCAAGATTTATTGCACTAGAATTAGAGTTGCTTCTATTGTTCAAACTAGTCATATTAGGCAACTTCCACGCTTTTTTGGTACCTATACCAAATAATTCCTGTAAATTTTATATGATTAAAAATTTTATTACCATAGTGTTATTACAATCTTGTTAGTGACATTCAAATGTAATAAAAACGCAAGAAAAAATTGGAAACTTATTTGAAATTAATAAAAACTTATTCTTGATTTTTTTCATCTTAGGCTACAACTCCTTAAAGGATGGATATAATTTAACGAAAGATAAATTTCGAGTCAAACTGAAATGTGGGCAGTACAGTAGGTTTTAAATTTTACAGAGGACCGAACAGATAACAGCAATTTGCCTGACTGCTTACGTCAAGAAGACCTTGACTTCATTGACCACGGATCTTTGGTTGAACTTGCACATTCTGATTCTGAGTTCTCCAGTAAGTTTTAACAACGCTTATTAATGTTCTTCAACAAGTCAAGTACTTGTACATTCTTCCTAGCCAACTCTTCTTATAGAAAAAACTATCCTAAGAAAAACCAGCAAGTATTGCGAAAAATTTCCTTTTTCAACATTATGAACCTGTAGGACTGTATTTGGTAATTACAAAAGCATGAATATATTTTCAAAATAAAATGTAACAACGTTTTCAAGACTCATCTTGAACTATCAAAATTAATTGCTTTCATTTTTCAGTTTAATAATCTATTATCACTGTTCAGTTTAAATTGTATTATTTAGCTGCATGGTAGAACCCTTATAATGTCGCCATTCCACCCAGGCTGTTGAATATTAAGTTACCCATCATTTACGAAAGTAAAAGTTAAAATTTCTATTCTAGAAACCATATTACTTGCAATTTATTTAGTATGCTGAAGTTGATTATCTGGCAATCATTACGTCAATAAAAGCATGCTTGTATATAGTTGTAGTTTGATTAATTTGTAGAGGAATGAGTCTTGTTTTTTTTCATTTTCAATATTTTATACTAAGTAGATCCAATTTCTAGATAATTTTTGAAGTTGTGCACAATACACTTCTTTTTATTGCTCACTTTGTTGTATCCTAATTGTAGATACACTAGTAATTACCTAGATGTTAAGTAAAATTTTAGACCGAGTTGTATTTATTTTATTTATACTACAATACCTGTATTCATAAACAAAACAAATATATTTATTGAAAAAAGGTAACGGTGGCCGATCCAGAGGGGGCGACCACCCCCTCCCCCCTCCTGGGGGCATACACATATATATTTACCATGCATGTAATACAGTAGTGCATAGGTATTGCGTAAAATAGTTTGTCACACAAACTTTGGACAAAGAATTGGTATAAAACTGTAATTTTGGAGACTTAGTTTACACCAATTTTTCGGGTGGAAGGGGTACCGAACCCCACAGACCCCTGGTTCGCCCCGCCCCCTTGTTACTGTTCTAGATCCGCCACTGCAATGGAATAGTACAGTACACCTTGTTATTGTAAGATACTTTTGATTTAAAATTACCAAAACATAATACCCCCTTAAAACATTAAATTACACATCAAAACAAAATATTTCCCAAGGTAACCAACTTTAAGACTTTTCCTCATAAGAGGTGCAAACAATATTTCCTTACATTTTTTATGAGGACAAGAAGGATGTATAATATTCTATTTAGGTAAATAATCTTGAGTTCCCAACGTGTTTCAGGCAAAGCTCAACTGGTCGGCCATTGCACCTACCATCACCTGCCTGGCCACACACCTGAAGTGCTGCGGAAAGGCACCCAGCGAGTGAGAGAACCGCGGATGAAGAGACAGTCTACCCACAAGTCTCGGGAGAGACGTTCTCGAAGGAGCTCTCGGAATAGAACTGAGGACGGCAGGAAGAATATTGACTCCCCTTTGATGGCTTCAAAGAAGAGACACAACTCTGGCTCTTGGAATAGAATTGACGACAGGCAGAAGAATCCTAGCTCTCCTTTGATGGCGTCACAAAAAAGATGCAATTCTGGAACCTATAGGAAGTCCAGTTGTCAGAGTCTGGAAAACAACAACTCGTGTGAAGCAATCCCTCAAACTCTCAGTCCTATCCAGTTACAGAGGAGAAGATGTCTCGGAGAGCAAGGCTCAAGACCTGGAGAAATGCCGGGGAAATATGTTAATCTAAATAGAGTTCTAATGGAAAGACTGATAAATAATCAAAGAAATGGAACAAGAAGCGCTGATGGTACCCCAGTATCCTTGAGAAAGAGAGGGGTTCCTTCTAACTACAATGGGAAATATATTAAAAATCATTATATATCTAACTTGATAAGCTCTGATTCAAATTTTAACGAGCGGAGAAATAGCTTAGAAGACAAGCATCATCTAGGATCAGAAGCAAAGCCTCGTTCAAATTCTTTATCGGTTCATTCCAACCAGAGTTTACACAGTGTTCCAAGCTCTCCAGGGGCTGGAGTAGTCCTAAATGACCATGATAAAGAAGGAGACTTGAAATATCGTCAACTGATCCAAGAAGCTGAACACATCATTGAAGATTTACAGGTTAAAACGAGAACTGAATATCTTTCTCCAACATTCCGGACTAAAAATGGAATGGAACGTGCAAAACCTAGTAGTCCATTAGTCTTCAGTGTTCCACCTAGTCCTTTGTCTCTGAGGTATGATATTTATAGAGACGGTGATGATAACCAAGTTTATCCGAAAGATCATGAATATGTAAACAACAACACAGTTTTCGACCAACCTATTTATAGTGTCCCAAAAGAGAAGCCCAATGAAAATGAGGAAGGACTTTTCAAAACATTGTCGAAAACATTGGAAAAGATTATGTTGAGAGGTGAATCGGACATCAACAAAAAGCTTGATAAAAGTGTGTCTGATCCTTTTTCTAAAGGGAAGAAGAAATTTGTTATGCAACCGAGTCCATCAATGTTTGCAAACCAAAAGCTAGAACATCAGAATGGACATATCGGGTTCACTACACCAAATTTGGTCCGAAGATCAAGCACTGGAAATACTCCTTCTAAACTGAGTACTTTTGTCAGTGCATCTAGACTGAACCAGAATGAAGTGGCAAACCAAGGTGTGTTCCGAAAGATTTTCCGCAGGAACGATAAATACAAAACTACTTCCTTTGATGAAAATCTGGACAAACATGACTTCCCTGAAAACGGGTTTTGTTTCAACACAGAAATCAGCAAACTTTCCTGTAACCATATATACGCTAATGGAGATGTATACAATCAATCAGTGACTAAGCAAGATATACAGAACTCCAGGTACATGCATTCAGAGACCAGGAATCCCCTCACAGACTATAGTCCAAACGGCAACACTCCAACCTACGTTAACGGATTTCAACACATCCCATGGCAGCATCGAACCAGCCAAGCAGAAAGGTTAAAACATTTAACCGATCTTCAAAGTTCACAGAAGTGTAAAATCGGTTCCTCAGAGCTTGTGGAGAAGAAACCTTCACTGGTTAGCTTCAGATCTTTTGACCTCGGGAACAAGCATGTCGTAAGTTCACGGTACTGCCCTCAAAGTGAGCCTGTGAAAAGAAAAATTTACACTTGCAGTGCCACCTTCGAAAAACTACAGAAGTCATTGTTGCGGAAGCATCCTGAAATACAACCTGCTAAAAATACTCTCAAGGAAGAAGGAGGTGGGTAAAACCTCTTGATCAGCATTGTACCTGTTATCAAATTTACAGTCAGTACATATAAATACGTATAATAACACTCATGAAACATATATCTACACCTATACTGTTAACTCACAACACGGTAAATATGTGTAAAAGATGGTGTGGTGACCGATTTTGATTGAACTCTCCAATTATCATCAGACCCTATAGGCAAATTATTCACTGATGATGATTGGAGTGTCTAATCGAAATTGATCCTCTTACCATCTTACCATCTGTGAGTTACAATAAAAGTCTAAATATACAATTTCATGGAGTGTTATTGGATGTATTTATTTTCTGTATAGTTGTGTAATTGTTAAGTTAGTCTCTAATAAGCCCCGTTTCCATTATACATTTTCTGCTCAAAACATTGTTGTGAGCTGAGCTCAACACAACAAATGTTCACGTAAAATGTTTTGAGCAGTGTTGGCAAACAAAAAGTGTTTGTGGCCGTTGCTGCTCACATAATTGTTGTGAGCTGTGCTTTACATATGAATACTACCAAGTTCTAGTAGTGAGTATTAGCATTGACTTTTGTATACTTAAGTAGACTCTCTACTTAAGTAGAAATTCTATATGGATCAGCCGTGACCAATTTATATAAAAAATAGAACGTAGTTGAGTGAGCCATTCACAGATTGCGCTAGTGTCTTCAATTTTAAGTCTTCAAGTTAAAAGTCCATATATGCAACAGAAATGAGTAATTTACATCAGCGCAATCTATGAGTGGCTCACTTCGACTACACAAATTTTGATTTAAAAACTGGTGACAATCTCTATGGTTTGTTGAAACCCAAAGCATAAACTATTCACTTGACGTGAGCAAATGTTTAAGTTGACAAAATATTTGTTATCTTTCAGTAACTGAGCAAGAAGAGGATTCAAATACTTCAGTAGAATGTGACGTGCTGCAGTCAAATACATTTCAGCTTCAAGAAGAGTTTATCATGTGTAAATCTCCTGGACAAAGTGAAAAAATAGTTTTAAGTTCAAGCACTGGTGAAACTGGGTAAGTTTTGTAAAGTTTACGACTAAGTCAAACGTGATATTTCTGTAAGAACTCTTTATACTGTTATTTTTATAACTACTTAGTAAGATTACCAAACCCCTGCTTGGATCTGATCTGATATTCTTGCATTTCTTGTTGAACATTTATTTTTAAGGTTCATTGACTCTTGTTTTTAAGGTGTAATATCAAGTATGAATGGATTGGATATATTAATCAGTTTACTGTTTTGGGCCTTGTATATTACAAATTTTCTTGGTTCTTGGTTGATTCAATAATGTTATTGATTTAAAAAAATTACATTGTACTCAAACTTAACTTGGTAGACCCACACAAATGATAAATAATTTTCAATAAAGTAAAAAGTACTCTTGAGTTTTTTAGCCAGTAATACAGTGAAGCCTTGATGTCTTTTAAGAAATACGTAGCAAAGACATGTTTTGTTCTATCGTATATTATTTATACAGTTTGCCTTAAGCCCTACTGCTACTATGCTAAATTGTATTCAAAACCCATAAAAAAAACATCCCATTCATACTTGGTTGTTAGAGATCTCACTGTAAATAATTCCTACCTTAAGATGTAAAATTACTAGATAATTTATGCCATACTATCATTTTGTAAAAATTTGTTGATATTTGTAGTGTTTAGACATGTTAATTGTTATATTTCAATTAAGATATAATTTATAACTAGATATTAGGGTTTTTTTATTATTTTTGTATTGATAATTTAACTTAAGCTTTATTATTAGTTTTGTTTAGGAGGTGTGTGTAAAAATTAAGTGTATTCATTCCTCATTGTTTCATCGGTGTGGCTTCTTATTTTGTGGATATAAAGATAAAAGATACCCCCGCCGCAGCAAACCTGCAGACTAAGCGAATTTCTATTTGGCTGAAATGATTTTCAATTGATCTATTTAAATAACATTAGGTTTAACGAGTACCTAGGTTTGCTGCTACGAGGAAACTAATAAAGTGTGTTTTTAGTAAAATATTGATAGCTTACTATAAAATAAATAAATTTGCCAAGTTTGATCAAAATATATCCATAAACAAGCAAACTACAACATTTTACAATATTCTCCATAAGAATAACATGGGAATTTTAAATTTACAATTTTTTTAGTTTTCTCCGTAACCAATAACCGTACAAAAACACTTTGATATACTGAATTGTTTGTTTTTTTAAGCTCTTTAAGAAGGTTTAGAGAAAATTGGGACATTTTGTGTATTGAGGGTCAAAAGTGAGAAAAACCAATTTTTACCCCATAAAACCCTGTTCCCGTGGTCCGATCATGCTGGATCGCGAACTCATTCAAGTTTATCCCGCCTTACACCTTCAAACCAAATTTCATCAAAATCGGATAAAAATTACTCAAGTTATCGTGTTCACGGACACATATATATATATATAAATCTATATATATATATATATATACATATATAAAAATTTGAACGAATGGTGTTTTTGGCCTCTGGGGACATCAAAATGAAAAAGTAAATCGGTCCCGGGCCTAAGTCTTACCATGAGACCTACGGTAATAGCTACTTCCCTATAGGGAAATTCGCTAAAACTGTGATTTTAAACTAGTCTAAAACTTTCTGGATACAGCAATGTCTGGATACCACTTGATTTTGATTATGTACAATTTTGTACTGTTTATCCCCTTATTTCCTCTTAACTTTTAAATCATGCTCAACTATTTGATGTTGCGTTACTGATAACTGGTTAAACCTGACTAAAAAATTGTAAAACATCTTTTGTTAGGGTTTCTCTTTTTTAGTTTATAAAACACATATTTTATGAGTTAAAGAGTTTTATTACAAACTACTAAGTATTAAATACTTACGACTGTACGTTATACGTTTTATTTCAAATTATAGGTAAAATTACTTAAAATTCACACGTATGAGCTTGTGGTGATTAAAAAACATGAATAAAAAACCAAAGATATGATTTTTTGAAATGTCATTCTAAAAAACCATAAGAGCACAACCGGTGGGGCGGGAACGTGTGGCTGTTCCAACATTCTGTTTATTTCCAAAGAACCTATTGGTGAGCAACTTGCATTTTTCTGCAACCTTGGTGAGCGTTTTCACACTGGAAAATTTACGACTGCACCACACTGAACACAACCATTTTACTACTGTTACCATTTGCCTCAGTTGCAGTGTTGCAGTTTCATTCTGGAAAAATCTTTAGCATAAAGCACATAAGATTTGTAATAGCAGTGCCTTTTATCTTTTAGATGGGAAATCCACAAAATACACTCAAACAGTTCCTTTTGTGAAAGTGTGTTTTTATAAGAAATACTATTTTTGACATGAGGAATGGTAGTTTATTTTTCCAACGACTATTCTTGTGTTCCCTTCTATCCTTTGATATTCCTTTACACTGACAATGTCCTGTTTGTTTTTGTATGTACAAAATACAAACATTTAAATCGGAATATTCAAAAGAATTGTCCCAATTTTTATTTTTTAGGTTTTGTTTCAAACTGTTGCATTATTATGTGAAAGTTCTTTTTGTTATTTTTCAAGAATAAGTTCAAACAATAAATTGACACAGTTTTTCCATATTTTTTTTTTAGCCTTAAGAGTGTGTAAAATGTTTGAGATCATGTCAATCAGGATATCATATAGCGAGGGCTAAGTGGAAGACTTCAATCAGTGCAAAGTGTCACACCACTATACCCTAGTGGTATCAAATTAATCCAAGTGTTCTTGTGTGCATGTGCATTTCCCTTGCCACTCTAATTTACACGATCTATACATCTGACACAAGATCAATTTTTATTTCATTTTGTGTTAGGAAAACTAATTGAGGAATATTCACACCACTTTTCCAAAAAATGTCTTCAGGTTTTTGGTAAATAATGAATACATTTTCTATGATAGCTTGAATTTTAGAAATATTTTCCATATTTATACGTAGATCAATCTAAAAAGGTCTCCTATTTGTGACTGCTCTTTTGAATGAAAAATTAATCTCATTGTTTTAGCAAATTGAATTCCAAAAATTAATTTCTGGACACTGGCTGGGTACCTTAAGGTTGTCAAGACTACTCTGTAGTTTATTGTGAAACCTAAACTTTTTTAGTTTGTATACTGCTTGTCTCATAAACAACTGGTATATTAGTTTTTACTGCTGATGTTACTTATAGTGTAGTCTTAAGTCATATACACTAGTTAATTTGGCACTCCCATAGTTACTCAAACTCATACGTAGCTATAGTTATAGAAAAGTTGAGTGTTTTGTATTTGTTCTATTTTATGACGTAATTTAGAATGTTGTAGATTCCATAGGAGTTATCCTTTTAGCCAAAGATTAGTACCATTAGCGATGAACTTAGAGACCTAGACTGTAGAATAGTTTATGCTAACTTAAACTTATTTCTCGTCTCTAACTGACTGATATACCATTTGTATACTGTAGAAAACCTTGTTTTGTATAGCAATGTCTGTTATTTATTTTTCATTCATTTTACAACCATTTTATTTATTTAAATTTTGCTGTCATGCAATATCAAACGCATAAAACAAAGGATATTGCAAATGGATCGTATAGTTTAAAACAAAATAAACCTTTACATGTTTGTTGGTTTTTATCTTATCCCTATTCAAGTGGAAAAGACCATACACTGTACCTTTGACTATTAATACTTCTGTATCCAATATAGTCAATGACTGTACCTACTTTTGGGGTAACGTTGGCATCTTCTGCAACTTTAAACACATCAGAAATGTCCCTTGTCACAATATAACTACAATTAAAGATATCTGGGCGGATCACCTTGACTATAGGCGAAACCAAGAAGGAGAAATTTGGGTTCTGACCCCTCCCTCCTTAAATCATCACTACGGTATAATAAAAAAGTGATTCATTTTTCCTTTTAGATTTTTTAAATCAAACATATATTTGTTTTTTAAATTCCTATCATTTATCCTGCTAAAATAAAAGATTCCGCTTAGGTTTACCCTAGCATAAATGTATACCTAAATTAAATGCTAGTTAAAAATTGGTGTTTTAGCGAATTTCCCTATAGGGAAGTAGCTATTACCGTAGGTCTCATGGTAAGACCTAGGCCCGGGACCGATTTACTTTTTCATTTTGATGTCCCCAGAGGCCAAAAACACCATTCGTTCAAATTTATATATATATATATATAAAAAAGTGTGTGTTGTGTGTGTCCACCACACATAACTTGAGTAATTGAGTAACTTGATAACTTGAGTAATTTTTGTCCGATTTTGATAAAATTTGGTTTGAAGGTGTAAGGCGGGATAAACTTGAATGAGTTTGCGAACCAGCATGATCGGACTATGGGGACGGGGTTTTATGGGGTAAAAATAGGTTTTTCCCATTTTCGACCCTAAAAACACAAAATTTCACAATTTCTTTTTAAACCATTTTGTAGAGCTTAAAAAAAAACAAATAATTTAGTATATTGAAGCGTTATTATGCGCCTAATTGTTACGGAGAAAATTCAAAAAAATTGTAATTTTAAAATTCCCATGTTATTTTTATGGAGAATAAGTCAACTGTTGTAATTTGCTTGTTTATGAACATATTTTGATCAAATTTGGAAAATAGATCAATTTCTTACTAAACCACCTTTACTAAACCTTTTAACATTTTACATAACAAAAATTAACCTCCCTGTTGCAGCAAACCTAAGTACTCATTAAACGAATTCTGTTTTAATAGGGAATAAATGTGATTTTTTAAGGAGACATTTTAGTTTAAATACAATCAGGCAAATGGAAATTCGCTAAGTCTGCAGGCTTGCTGCGGCGGGGGTATTATAACTTCATATTTCTTTGTAATAATAACATGCAAGTTTATTTTTTTTTTATTAGCTGCATGGAAATTAATGAACATTTTTAAATATACCGTACTTACTTAGTCACTTTCTCATGGTTTGCTTGTGCTTGCATTTTTTGATTGAACATAATATATATATATATATATATATATATATATATATATATACATATATTGCTTTTCAGTAATTAATTGTTGTAATTGTATGGGTTTTATGGGTCAAGATAAAAAAATTCAATTTTTTTAAATGTTTTATATATATTATGATATACTTACATTTTTACTTCTAGAAATTTAATTTTCTATGCCATTTTCTATACCTGTCATTAAATCGGGATATGTATACAGAGCTATAAATTTAGCCACTATACAGTAGCTAATTTTTTGTTTAACACATTCGGTGCTGACTGCTAGATGCAGGGACGCCAGGAGCTGAACTAGCGCTCGCCGCTGCGTAACATTGCATACACTGAATTACAGTATAAACAACAGTAGTTATAGTGGATGGCAATGTTCTGCAATTAAACTGGCTTTGGACATAGTACTAAGCGATTCTGATAGACAGCAGCACTACCCATGTTTGCAGTCGGTAAAGTAGTGTCACTAGCAGGAAAGAGGTGGGACAGAGCCCTGTTCTAAACGACCCTGGTGGTGATTTTGGGAAACTATATTTTTTATTGTCAGAAAAGTACAGACAAGCTGCAAAGAAATACAGTACGCTCTTGCAGAGCTTAACAATTGTTTGGATACATCTAATATTACAGTACAATGAAAGAAAATTGCAAGATATACAAGGCCACTAATATTTAGAGAGGCACTTCAATGTACCTTTTGATTCTTGAGAGTTCTACTTAATGTATTAGTATATTGTTGTTTTATATATACAGAAAACAAGCACATTGAAACTGACTACTTTTCATCACATTATACAAAACAAAGCAATAAGGTATGTTAGTTGATTGTACCTCTTATTGATAAACAAAATACTGTTTCAACTGAAAACTCGGGAACAAAAAGG